CCAGAACCCCCAAAATCACCCCAGAACCCCCTTGAACCACCCCAGAATCCCGAAAACCACCCCAGAATCTCCCCAGAACCCCCAAAACCATCCCAGAACCCCCCAAAATCACCCAGAATCTCCCAAAACCACCCCAGAATCTCCCAAAACCACCCCAAAACCACCCCAAAACCCACCCCAGAACCCCAATTTTAATTTTTTTTTTTATTTTCGAGCCGCCGGCACTCACCGTTTGCCGGTGGAGGAAAGCCGGACGAAGACTTGGCACGCGTCCGGCACCACGCGTTGGATGAAGACTTGCTGCTCGTCCCGCTCGCCGAAGGGTCCTGCCGGCAAAATTTCGGCAAAATTTTGGCAAAATTTTCCCCGTTCCCCCCCCATCTCGGTGCCAAATCCGGCGTTTTCTTACCGATATCGGTGCCGGCGGTGGAGCCGGTGGGACCGTCGAGGTCGTCGAGAGAAAGGATTTTGAAGGATGCCAACGGCGTTGAGCCCGGTTGGGTAGAAATCATCCCGCGGAACCGTGTCACCGTCCACGTCCGGACGTGGTTGTTGTCGGCACAAACTGGGAAAACCAAAGAGGAGTTGGCGAACGCTAAAATTTTGGGGATTTTATCGCCCGTCGGTGGTTTTTTCCGCCCGGATTTTACCGGAGATGAGGTGTTTCTCCGATAACATGATTTTGGTGACGGGGCTGCGGTGGACGGTGAAGGTTTGGAAGAGTTGGGGACCGGAGCCGACGGTTTCAGGGTGTTGGACGATGACGCGGACGACGCCGGAACTCGTGCCGTAGGCGATCTCGATCCAATTCCCGCTATCACCTGGAAAAAACCCCACCCCAGTGCCAAAAAAACCCCTCTTCCCAGTTCATCCCAGTAACAAACTGGGGCGGCGAGAAGTTCTTACTGGTTTTGGGGGTGAGGTAGACGCTGAGGGCGGTGACGGCGTCTTCGGTGGGGTCGCGGTAAAGCTCCGTCACCAGGAGATCGTTGTCCTTCATGCGCAGGGGGAACTTCTGGACGTCTGGAGGAGGGAAAACAGGGGACACGGGGGACAGGGGGACGGTGACGGCGTTGTCACCGCGCGGCACGGTGACGGCGTTGTCACCGAACGGGAACGTTCGGCGCCGCCGGCGCTCACCCACGTAGTAGATGGAGCCGTTGTTGCAACCGAGGAGGAGGAAGGTGCCGGCGGCGTCGTAGCTGTTGATGGGGACGACGTCTTGGATCTGAAGGGTTGGA